TATTTTAAGAATTTGGGTATTTAAGAGAAGGTGATATGGACTGGCGTGATTTGGTTATGATATAGGTTACGCGTGATTTTGGATGATTTGGTTATGAGGGTAAGAAAATAATATGACTTGATTGAGGGAGTGGGATAGTGAAGGACGTGAGGGTGGATGAAGGACGTGAGGGGGAGTGGGTTAGTGAAAGATAATGTTATTGTGTTTCAAGCCAAAAGAGGTGAAAACAGTGAGGTGAAGATAAAAAGGGTGAATCAAGAACTTTGAGGTAAAGCCCAAGGAATTCTAGGAGAGAAGATGTGAGGTGTAAAAGAATTTGGAATGAAATTTTGAAGGATGTTAAGAGTTTGTTTTGAATGGTTGGAAGCAAAAAAGAAAAGTGAGAGGGAAAAGCTTGGAAGACAAAATAAAATAAAATAAAACAAATGATGATGGCTCAATAAAAATAAAAGATGGATAAGAAAAAATGATTGAAGTACCGTGAGTCAAGATGAGGTTGTTGCCAGCTTTGGATTGGGGTTGTTTACTTCAAGGTGAAACTGAGATAATCGATAGCTCTGTTACCATAAAGAATTTTAGAGAGAGAGATGAATTCTTTGATAAAATAATTGTGCCCCACACTCATTTGTGGTGGTTCTTTCATTATAAATATAATGGTTATACAATGATATAATATACATTTTCCTATTTTGCTACATGCAATGTACACTTTCCTATATTGTTTCAATCTCCTCTCAAAAAGGAAAGAGCAATACACTTTCCTATCTTATTTGTCTTATTTGAATTTTGTTTCTATTAGACATATATCAGGCCGATTAGTCTTCTCACAAGTTTATATAAAATTATTGAAGGGTTAGGTGTCATTCCTTCGACTATTTCTAGTCCCCAATCAACCTTCATTCAAGATCGACTCATCACGGATAGTGTCATGGTGGCGTAAGAATGTGTTCATAAGGTACTCAGTCAGTTGCCAAGGGTAGTGATTAAGTTGGATATGGGGAAGGTCTACGATAGAGTAGAGTGTGGTATCTTATTGGAGATTTTGAAAAAAAATGGGGTTTGTGAAAAGTAGAGGAGTTGGATTTATGGTTGCATGTATTTTGTCCATTTCTATATTCTTATAAATGGCAGCCCCAAAGTCTTCTTTCTGGCCTCAACGGGTTTGCGCTAAGGTGATCCATTGTCCCATTTTCACTATACAGTTTATGCAGAATGCTTTAGTTTGATGATCAAGAATGTGGAGAGTGCAAATAACTTTGAGGAATTTATGATGGGGGCTAACGAGCTGAGAGTTTCTTATCTTCAATATGTTGATGACACACTCATCTTTTGTCAGGCATATATTGAAGAAGTCTCTAATATTGCTCGTTTTCTAGATTGTTGTGAGATAGCTGTGGGTTTGAAGGTTAATTTTGATAAGACTTCTCTTATTGGTATTAAGTGCAGTGAAGGCTTGGTAAAAGATTTAGCTGTTGCTATGGGTTGTAAAGTGGGCTCATTTCCCTTTACTTATTTGGGGATCCCCATTTCCATTGGAAGGGCCTTAATTTCGATATGGGATATGGTGCTGCAAAGATTCCAAGTTAAATTGGATTTATAGAAGCCAAAATATTTATCTTTGGGGGGAAGAGTTACTCTTTTACATTTTTGCTTGCCCAATCTACCCATTTATCAAATGTTAGTCATGGAGATGCTTCTTGCAATTGTCAAAATAATAGAGAACATGATGAGAGAGTTTCCTAGGCATTCGGATGATGAGGCAAGGAAATACCATCTTCTTAGATGGGATAGGTTATGCACACCTGAGAGTAATGGGGGACCAGGTATTAGAAAAGTGGGGCTAGTCAATTAAGCTTTGTTACACAAATGGTGGCGGCGAAGCTTCACTCTTAGAGAGTAGCTTTGGTATTTGATTCTTTCCCATAAGTATGAAATGGACAAACATAGTTTGTGGATTGGGGGAGGCAGTGGTAGCAAGAGTTGTTCTATTTTTTTGGAAGGCTATTTACTTGTGCAAACCAATACTTCACAATAATATTAGATAACTGGTTGGTGATGGTTGCCACATTTTTTTTTAGAACCAAAAATGGCTTGGGGACATGCTATTAAAATTGATGTTTCCATAAGTTTTTGAAAGGATGGTGTAGCCTCATGCCAATGTTTATGATATGTTTGAGTTTAGGGGCAATGAAGTGGTGCGGAATATCCATTTTCTATATAATAGAGTTAACGTAAATACATTTTCTAGCTATCTTGATATTTTGCAGTTGCTAAATTAGGTGTTTATTCCTCGAGGTATTGCTGATGAAGTGGTTTGGGAGATTGAAGCTGATGGTCTCTTCTCGGTAAAGTCTGCTTATCGTCATCCCTTATATGATAGAGTTAGATGGTCCCTACTCAAAGTGGCTACATTTTGGAAGTGGCATATTCCTCATAAGGTCCAAGTTTTCCTTTGGCGGGCTGCCCAAAACTAGATCCTAATGGTGGATAATCTCATTAAGAGGGGGAAGATCTTGATTAATATTTGCTTGATGTGTAAAGAGGATGGTGAATCAAGAGCTCATATTTTTTTACATTGCCCTTCGTTTTTAGGATATGGTCGTGGTTCTTTGTGCGTTTGGGTTTATTCGTGGGCATGCCACAAAGTATGCTCGGTGTGGCTCCCAATCTTGCTTTCCCCCATCTTCCAAAGGTTGGTAGAAAGGTGTGGCAAATTACTGTAGTGGCAATTATGTGAAGTATGGAAAGAAAAGAATAGAAAAACCTTCGAAGGTGTATGTTTGCCTTTTCATAGACTCCTTTAGATCACCAATTATACTATTTGGTGCTGGCTATCTATTACAGTTGAGGGGTAGGAAATTACGGAAGTGGATATAGCTTTAAATCTTGATAACTTTATAGGATAAATTTTGTGAAATGCTGGCCGAGATTATTATGGATTCTACCTTCTATTGGAGGATTCAAACTCAACTTTGATGGGGAGCTTGTTAGGAAATCCAGGATTGGTCAACTTTGGTGGGGTAGTGCATGATTGGAATGGGATGATTATCTTCTCGTATGTTGGTCCAGCACTGCTAACTGTGAGAGCTTCTTGCTTTTCTTCAATGCTTGAAGATTTTTTGTGATAAAAATCTGGGTTCTCTTTTGATTGTTGAAGGAGATTAATTGAATGTTATCAGTTGGTGAAAGAGAGAACAAGTGGTACCATGGGCACTTAAGTCCACCTGGTTGGTTGCAGATTCTCCACTTTTTGGATTTCATTTCGATTTCCTTTGTTCATGCATATCGTGAGGCAAATTCTGTGGCTCATTCTTCGACAAAATTTGGTGCCACTTGTTTTACTTCTTTGGTTATTAACGATGTAATATTGTCATTGTAACTTTCTCCTATCAATAAATTTGTTCACATTGGTAAACAAAAAAAAACAAAAAAAAAAAACAAAGCGCATCCATATTAAATTGAAAATTAATGAAAAAATAGAATTTAAAGAATTGATTTGTGCCCAAGGATATTTTTGAAAAATTTTCAAAAAAAAGGAAAAATTAATGGGCAAAACAATTTTCAATCTTTGTCAAAATGATGAAAAATATTAAAAAATATATTACAAATAAAATCCCTTAGTTTTTTGGATTTTGTATAACAATTTATGATGTTTTTTAAAAAATAGCCGATTGGTTCAGCCAAACCTGCTGAAACCGGTTCTGATCTAACCGGGTAGTCCCAATTTGAACTGCCCGATTTTTCCTACACAGGTAAAAATATGATCTTTGTCCACCAAGAACGAAGATTAGAAGACTCTGGGGAATAAATTTATTTATTTATTTCATGCGCCGAACATTTATACGGTAAGCATTATAGAGTTTTCAAAAATTTACAATGAAAGTTATGAAACGCGACCTTAGACAGTGCAGGATTACCTAATCCAACACTACATCATACTTACTTTTACCAGGTAGGGGACTTAAATCCAACCGGGCTTTAAACCTATCCTGACCGAGTCCAAACCCGGAACTTTGGGCTGGCTTGCAGGTTCTTGTTAAGAGAGGGAGAGAGAATAGCAATTTGACGGAAATTGAAACAGAGAAAAAGAGAGAGAGTGTTCTCTCCATCAATGGGAGGCGCGGTTCCTGATTGAGCGAGAGGGGACTGAGAGGAAGAGAGTTTGTGAAAGGTGCCGGCTCTCGGGGTTTAGAGAGAGAGAAGGGGGAAAATGCCGAGCACACCAGTGGTGATTGGGGCTCTTCTAGGGTTGGGAACTCAGGTCTATTCCAATGCCCTACGTAAGCTGCCCCTGATGAGACGTGAGTTTCTTTCTCCTTCCATTTTCTTTCTCAGTGGCTGATGAGTCTTGAATCTCTTCCCATTCACTTTCTCCTCCATTGTTTTTTCTTTCTCTCAGTTGCTGAAGACGCTCGAATCTCTCCCTTTACTTTCTCTGTCCTCCTATTTTCCCTTTCTCTCACTACTTTTCCTTATGTTTCAGACCCTTGGGAGCATCTGCTGGGGATGGGGCTCGGTACCATATTCACAACACAGCTAGTCAAGTGGGACTCCAAGCTGCAGGAGGATCTTGATAAGATGCTTGAAAAGGCCAAGGCTGCTAATGAGAGGAGATACCTTGGTCAGTTTCTCTCTCTTGTTCCTAGCTTTTTAGCGGAAAAATTCTCTCTTCTTCTCTCATACTAAACCTAATGTTTTCATCTACTGATTTTCTCTCCCCTGTCGCAGTAAACCTAATTTCTCTCTATTCTTCCTTCATACTCTCACAGTAAAGCTCACCCTCTCTTTGCCTCTCGATAAACCCCATACTCTTTCTCTCTGTCACTTTCTCCATCTATTTATCAATAAACCTAAACCGATCTCTTCCAATAAACCTAAATCTTTCTCCCACCATTCTCTCTCTTGCGATAAACCAAATTCTTTTGAAGCTTTTGCAACAAGCTGAATGGTCCCTTTCTCTCTCTATCTCTCTTGCAATGAACCTAATATTCTTGATTTCTGGTTCTGTAGTTGGAAATTTTTATTGTGTGTTCAAATTAGGGTTTCTACTGAGTTTCGTTCTTCATTTTGATGAATCTGTTTCCCTTTGTTTGGACCTTGCAATCCATTGATTTTGGATGGATGTTCTAGAAAATCAGTTCCCTTGTTTTTATCTGCCTCTTGTTTTTATCTCCCTCTGTGGAAGTGTTATCTAGTAATAGTTACCAAATGTTTTCTAGTTGTTTTAATCTATGATACAAATTAGGGTTGATTCTTCACAAGTCAGTACCTTAATTCAGCCTTAAGGGAAAAGAATAGTGGAGAAGGAACATCACGAAAGCAAAGAGGGATCTAACTTAACTCAAAAGTTCTCCAAAAAACAATAACTACTGACCTTCTAAACTCTTCAAAAGGTATTTAAGTCAGTGTTCCCAGACCCCAGATCTAGGGGAACTAGGTCCAGGCTGCCCACTGCCTAGGCCGGCACCCAGAACCTAGGTGGCCCAGTAGAATAAAAAGTTGTTTTAATGTCAGATTTTGTATAAAAAATTTAAAAATACATATTGGGACATATTTGATTCCATAATTGCATGCTTTTCAAATTGAGACATATTAAAAAATACATTTGAAGACATATTTTAGTCCATAATCCAAGATAGCAACTTAGCAAGACATCAAGTCATCATCAATAAAATGAAAGAAACTAAGAAATAATGCATAAGAGTTAGGAGGCACATCAAATGTCTATAGTCCATAAGTCTACATACATTCGTCCATACTCCATAAGTCCATATCCAATTATCCATAGTCCGAACATAGTTAAAACTTAAAAGTTTACAAACCATCGTACACAACCAAGAGGAGGAAAAGAAAAATGAAGGAAATATAGACTTGAAGACTCAATCATCAATCATCATTAGAAAAAGCAGGGTTAGCTGCATTTGCATCATATGCATTGGAGTCGAGGCCATCATCATCGGAATCATCTCCCTCCTCAACAATTTAAAAAAAAAAAAGAATTATCTCCTTCCTCAACATAATGGTCGTCCTCCTCTTCCTCTTTTGAATTTGCCTCTGCTTCCTCCTCCACCTCCTCCACCTCCTCTACCTTCACCCTTTGGATATAAAATCTAGTGGCCCTAGGAGGGTCGGCTGATGTCCCTGAGGGCTTCATGACCATATCCCATGTCAATCCTTCTTGTCCCTTGACCTCATTATCTTTCAACCAACTACTCCATAACATTATCTATATTTTTTGATTTGAGGGGGTGTCTCATTTCTCTCTTAGCAAACCTCTCCCTTCAAGTATCTATTATACTTGATGTAGACTAGGTCATTGAGCCTCTTTGATTCAAGCCCAGTGTTTCAAAAAGCACTAGGCGGACATCCAGAACTTAGTACGTTTCCGCATCAACATGAAATTATAGGCCTGGTAGAAAAGAAAAGGTCTCTATAGTAACTAACAGCATAAGTATAACTGTATATTATATAAAATATAAGAATTAGGGATTTAGGGCACATCAAAATTTAAAAGTATACTACACAACACATAGGAGCGCACATTCCATAAGCATAACCATAAGTCCATATCAATGGGTGATGTTTTGATCAATTTATCATGACTTTGAGAAACCCTTCAATCTTAAAGAAATCACCAAAACCTAGTTTCTTGTGGTTTTTCTCTCTCTAAAATGGGCTCTAATGGGTTTTAGGTTTCAAATGAACCTAAGACCCATAATTTTGGCCCCATAGTATAAAAAAAATGACACAAAATGCCCCTACCGAGTGCTCTTCTACCTTTGGGAGGGGCGCAGGCCCATGGCGGCCGCCTAGGCGGGTTCTTGGGCCCCTAAGGATTTCCGCCTTTTTCTGGCGCCCAGGCCTTCTGGACCGCTTAGGTGCTGGGTGGTCTGCTTTTTGAATCACAGTTCAAGCCTGTTTTGTTTTTTTTGTATGAATCTAATAAAATCAAATGAAACCAACAAATTCAAACATGCAGTCATTTATGCACATTGTGCTTGACTTGCAAAATCCTTCGATTGTAGTTTATCCCATCGTCCATTAGCTTTTCCCAAACGTATAAGATTCCCTTGCTGGTTATAAATTATTTTGAATGATTTTATACTCTTCATAATTTTGAATGAAAAGTGACAGTGCATTGACAATTGGTCATGGCAATGATGCGTATGCTGGGTGTGCTTCATGATAATTTGTTATGTGTGCTTTCTAAGAAATTTATGGAGTAAAATTTGCAGATGGTGTCTGCTATTTCTGAAAGAGAAGTCTGTTTCAATTAAGTATTTTCTTCTAATTACTAGGATTTATCAATACTACAAAGACAATCAAAGAATATTTTTCATGCTGTTGAATTTAAATTTGCTCTTAATAATTCTCATGAATCTGCAATCTCCTGAATTTATACAAGTTTGATTGGTCGTGAAAAAAAGGTTCATAGGAGGTGTCTAGAATTGAATATTATTTGGATCTTTCCCTTTGCATGGACAAAAGAAACTTTTTTTTTCGGTACAAGATTCGATAGCCATGAGCTGAGCCCAACACCTTATCCTTTCTTTGAGTGGTAACAACACCTAATCTTAAACAAATAAAGATTCATTCTCAGCAAGCTTTTTTTAATTGCCTAATGCTTTATTCAGTATTTTAGTCCTGTTCAGCAGCCTGCTTGATATGTGAGACCATTGGCCCTTGACACTCCATGCTTGCTGTTCATACATTTGCTAAACCCCTCACTTCTATCTTTTAAGCTTTTTCTTATCTTGCGTCCTTCATGCTTTCCTGAGCATAGTTGTTCCCTCTTTGTCATGATGTCAAATTCCTCATTCATTAGCTTTCCAATTGCTCACATGTAAGTGTTTATTGAAGCCAGCCAACTTGGTGCTATCCCAGTGCCCCTCTGTCTTTCTTAATGCCCTAATATTTCTGACACGATTATGTCACTGACATATAATAGTCAGTGTATCACTTCATATACAGAAATAGTAGCTTGAGGTCCTCCTTGACCTCCTTCCTCATTTCTGGACGTTTATTAATACTCACAGTACAATTCCTTGTATAAATCTCTATGAATTATGAGCTGTATATACATCGCAATCTGCAGGGAGAGAACTACCTACCTGTTTCTTTCCCAATGTCATTGGCTTGTCATGGACCTTGTGAGCTTGGAATGCTTTTTCCTTGAGCCAAGCACAAGTATGGTTCTTCAGCCTCATTTCAACCATGTGCATCTGACAAAGATCATGGCTTGGTTTGCTTCTGCGAAACTAGTATGGTCCTTCAAACTTCTCTCCATTGAGATTCCTTTCATTACTTAACTACGTTGGCAAAAATGGGTTCTAAAGTTGGTTGTCTTGGTAGGGTTCTTGAATCTCCTCGCCTCCCTTCTTTTTTTATCACATTGTGCAAGCTCTCCCATTCAATGTTTCAAAAAATGTTAGGCGGCTGGCCTGGTGCCCAGCCCAGAACCTCAGGCACCCTGAGGTGAAAAACTGCATAGTCTCATTAATTTTATATTTTTTTGCATTTATATGTATTGACTTTTTGACCTATACACTTTGTGAATGCCATGATTTTCTGCATACTATGCAATACAAAACTATGCATGCCTTTTGAGATGTGACTTATGTCTAATTTCAAAGACAGGCAATAAGAGTAGGCAAGGAGAGAGGAAAAAGAAGTTGGGAGGAGATAAAAAAGTTAGTCGTATTGCGGTTATATTGAGAAGTGACGTTGCAATCAATATACTTAATTTCATTGGGACGAGTTCATTGGGTCATGTCCACCTCTTGAAGGACTTCTATCACTCGAGTTTTGGTAAACCAATTCGAGCCCGTCATGGGGTTGCCTTATGAGTGGAGTAACTTGGAGAGTCATTGGGAAAATTATATATGGCAATGTCTTTTCCTTTTTCTTGTATTGTATGTACTGCATCATTCTTGGATTTGTGAATTTGGAAGAAGTTAAACATATTATTCATTGGAATTCTCTCCATTGGAATTCTCTCCAAATTACAATATATGGAAAAGTGAACTTTGGGGACCTCGATCCTAATAACACCATAATGCGATCCCATTTAGCAAGAAACCTCCTCTCGTGCAGATATGCAATGCATTCCCTGAAAGTCAAGGATCTCGATCCCTTTTCCTGTCCATGTATGGATCTTGTTCTCCTGATCGGGAAACTTCAAGCCTTCCTTGCTCTGTGCTTCTGCTCCTGATCCTGAATCTCCTCCCGCTCCCGTTTCGGGTAACTATGCTCAAGACAAGATGAAATACTTAAAAAAGAAAATTCCAACAAGGAAGATTAAGCCTATGGATGTTTCTTGAAATCTCTGTTTCCTTTTTTTGTCTTTTTTGATTCATAGAGATCTCAAAATCAATAATTTGGGGGCGTAGATTCCAATTTGCTTCACTTTGGGTGTTTAGAATACCCCCAATAGCCTTTTATGAAAAAATCGTGGGTCAAAAATGACCCACCGTGCCCTTATTCTCAAAAAAAGGGCCTAGTACCTAGGTGCCGCCCAAGACTAGGTGCTGGGCGCCTGCCTAGGTGCGGGGTGGACTGTTTTTTTAAACAATGCTCCCATGTGGCCTTACCTTAATTTGCTGCATGTTCTGTTTGGACCAT